AATGTAACCACTGAATAATTTCTCACAGTCAAACATATCTTGATAGAATGTAAGCATAAAAAAAAAATACATAGCAACTATTACCAAGAACAACACACACGCACACATGCTCAAGACAGAAACTACACCTCATTGTAACCACTGCAATCAATTTCTCACAGTCAAACATATCTTGATAGAATGAATGGAAGAAGCATAAAAAAACATACACATAGCAACTATTAACTATACCAAGAACAACACACACATATCTTGACACATGCTCAAGACAGAAACTACACACCTCATTGTAAAACTACACTGCAATCAATTTCTCAGTCAAACATATCTTGATAGAATGGAAGAAGCATAAAAAAAATACATAGCAACTATTACCAAGAACAACACACACGCACACATGCTCAAGACAGAAACTACACCTCATTGTAACCACTGCAATCAATTTCTCACAGTCAAACATATCTTGATAGAATGTAAGAAGCATAAAAAAAAATACATAGCAACTATTACCAAGAACAACACACACGCACACATGCTCAAGACAGAAACTACACCTCATTGTAACCACTGCAATCAATTTCTCACAGTCAAACATATCTTGATAGAATGTAAGAAGCATAAAAAAAATACATAGCAACTATTACCAAGAACAACACACACGCACATGCTCAAGACAGAAACTACACCTCAATGTAACCACTGCAATCAATTTCTCACAGTCAAACATATCTTGATAGAATGGAAGAAGTATAAAAAAAATACATAGCAACTATTACCAAGAACAACACACACGCACACATGCTCAAGACAGAAACTACACCTCATTGTAACCACTGCAATCAATTTCAATTTCTCTTGATAGTCAAACATATCTTGATAGAATGCAAGAAGACATAAAAAAATACATAGCAACTATTACCAAGAACAACAACACGCAAAAAAATACATGCTCAAGACAGAAAACTACACCACATCATTGTAAAACTACACCTCATTGCAATCAATTTCTTTCTCACAGTCAAACATATCTTGATAGAATGGAAGAAGCATAAAAAAAATACATAGCAACTATTACCAGCAACTATTACCAAGAACAACACACACGCACACATGCTCAAGACAGAAACTACACCTCAATGTAACCACTGCAATCAATTTCTCACAGTCAAACATATCTTGATAGAATGTAAGAAGCATAAAAAAAATACATAGCAACTATTACCAAGAACAACACACACGCACACATGCTCAAGACAGAAACTACACCTCAATGTAACCACTGCAATCAATTTCTCACAGTCAAACATATCTTGATAGAATGTAAGAAGCATAAAAAAAATACATAGCAACTATTACCAAGAACAACACACACACACATGCTCAAGACAGAAACTACACCTCAAGAACAACACACACGTAACCACTGCAATCAATTTCTCACAGTCAAACATATCTTGATAGAATGTAAGAAGCATAAAAAAAAATACATAGCAACTATTACCAAGAACAACACACACGCACACATGCTCAAGACAGAAACTACACCTCAATGTAACCACTGCAATCAATTTCTCAAACATATCTTGATAGAATGTAAGAAGCAAAAAAAATACATAAATCTTGATAACACACACGCACAATGCTCAAGACAGAAACTAAAAAAAACTGCAATCAATTTCACAGTCAAACATATCTTGATAGAATGTAAGAACATAAAAAAATACACAACTATTACCAAGAACAACACACATATGCTCAAGACAGAAACTACATCAATGCTCAATCAATTTCTCACAGTCAAACTATCTTGACCTCAATGTAACCAGTATAAAAAAAATATGCAATCAATTTCTCAACACACACGTCAAACATAAACTCTCATTAGAATGTAAGAAACATAAAAAAAAATACATAGCAACTATTACCAAGAACAACACACACGCACACATGCTCAAGACAGAAACTACACCTCAATGTAACCACTGCAATCAATTTCTCACAGTCAAACATATCTTGATAGAATGGAAGAAGCATAAAAAAATACATAGCAACTATTACCAAGAACAACACACACGCACACATGCTCAAGACAGAAACTACAAAAAACCAAAATACATCAATTTCACAGTCAAACACATATCTTGATAGAATGGAAGAAGCATAAAAAAAATACATAGCAACTATTACCAAGAACAACACACACACACATGCTCAAGACAGAAACTACACCTCAATGTAACCACTGCAATCAATTTCTCACAGTCAAACATATCTTGATAGAATGTAAGAAGCATAAAAAAATACTTAGCAACTATTACCAAGAACAACACACACGCACACATGCTCAAGACAGAAACTACACCTCAATGTAACCACTGCAATCAATTTCTCACAGTCAAACATATCTTGATAGAATGTAAGAAGCATAAAAAAAACATAGCAACTATTACCAAGAACAACACACACACACACATGCTCAAGACAGAAACTACCTCATTGTAACCACTGCAATCAATTTTCACAGTCAAACAATCTTGATAGAATGCATAAAAAATCAAACTTTACCAAGAACTCACACACACACACACATCAAAACATATCTTGATTTCTCAGAAACATATCTTGATAGAATGCATAAAAAAAATACATAGCAACTATTACCAAGAACAACACACACACACACATGCTCAAGACAGAAACTACACCTCATTGTAACCACTGCAATCAATTTCTCACAGTCAAACATATCTTGATAGAATGTAAGAAGCATAAAAAAAAAATACATAGCAACTATTACCAAGAACAACACACACACACACACATGCTCAAGACAGAAACTACACCTCAATGTAACCACTGCAATCAATTTCTCACAGTCAAACATATCTTGATAGAATGTAAGAAGCATAAAAAAATACATAGCAACTATTACCAAGAACAAAACACACACACACACACAGTCAAACATATCTTGATAGAATGTAAGAAGCATAAAAAAATACATAGCTCAAGAAGACAGAAACATATCTTGATAGAAAAGAAGCTACACCTCAATGTAACCACTGCAATCAATTTCTCACAGTCAAACATATCTTGATAGAATGGAAGAAGCATAAAAAAAAATACATAGCAACTATTACCAAGAACAACACACACACACACACATATATGCTCAAGGCAGAAACTACACCTCAATGTAACCACTGCAATCAATTTCTCACAGTCAAACATATCTTGATAGAATGTAAGAAGCATAAAAAAATACATAGCAACTATTACTAAGAACAACACACACACACACATATATGCTCAAGGCAGAAACTACACCTCATTGTAACCACTGCAATCAATTTCTCACAGTCAAACATATCTTGATAGAATGTAAGAAGCATAAAAAATACATAGCAACTATTACCAAACAACAACACACACACACACATATATGCTCAAGGCAGAAACTACACCTCAATGTAACCACTGCAATCAATTTCTCACAGTCAAACATATCTTGATAGAATGTAACCACTACAATCAACTTTACCAAGAACAACACACACACACACACACATATATGTCAAACATATCTTGATAGAATTTCTCAAGAAACATAAAAAATGTGAAGCATAAAAATACATAAACTATTACCAAGAACAACACAAACACACACAACCACTGCAATCATTTTCACAGTCAAACATATCTTGATAGAATGGAAGAAGCATAAAAAAATACATAGCAACTATTACAAGAACACACACATATGCTCAAGGCAGAACTACACCTCAATGTAAATCAATTTCTCACATCAAACATATCTTGATAGAATGTAAGAAGCAGAAACTACACACCTCAATGTAACCACACCTCATTGTAACAATCAATTTCTCACAGTCAAACATATCTTGATAGAATGGAAGAAGCATAAAAAAAAATACATAGCAACTATTACCAAGAACAACACACACACACACACATATATGCTCAAGGCAGAAACTACACCTCAATGTAACCACTGCAATCAATTTCTCACAGTCAAACATATCTTGATAGAATGTAAGAAGCATAAAAAAATACATAGCAACTATTACCAAGAACAAAATATCTTAACCTGCTCTTCAAAGATGTACCTACTGCCTAAATAATAGGATATCTGAAGAAAATAAAATACTTCCAACTTCTATAGAAAATAGAGTTTGGATTTTGAACCATACAATTTATGTTTTTAAATACTCCTGAACTATAAAACTTGTTATATTTTGAAAACAATTTTAAAACCTCACAAGCACTTAAAATATTTTGAAACATCCCTGAATAAAAATCCAGTTTCAGCATTAAATGATCCACAGGGCTTGATATGCTGGTAAAACAAATAAACAATCAATCAATCTTTTGCCTAGTATAATACAATCTACTTGTATAATTTACTTTAGATTATCATCAATAAAATTACATAGTTATGGTTTGCTGTTGCTTAATGTAATTTTATTTAATGTTTTCCTTTAATAACATAGCATTGCTAGACGGAGAGCTTCCTAGGCTGAAGTCAACAGTCTGGGCAGAGGATTACCATGTGCCTGTGACCAAAGCAAGCCTTACATTTGGAGGTCTCCAACTGTGGTTTGATCGAAAAGGATTGATTCCACCAGTTTACATGCGAAGCTTGAATGAATAGCTCTCTAACCTTCAATTCAGACATGTAGTGAAAACTGGTCAGCTGTGCAGTAACCCTATAGCCAAACCTGGTCATTCAATTAAAATAACCAACATCTGACTAAATCCTTATTCTTCCATATGAACAGTTGAATGCATTTATATAAATTTATTCAGCAATTTTTGTGTTCAAAACTTGAATTAGCACTATAAAAATAACACTCAATAAATATCAATTTTTTTTCTTGAAGTAGAGCTTAAAATGAATTTTAGTCAAATGTTCAATAACCAATTTCTTATTATAATATCCTCTATTTTTGTACTTACAAAATTTTTTTTTTTTCCCACAGGGCAAGTTCACGACTAAAAGTGACGTATGGTCATTTGCTGTTACACTCTGGGAAATATTAACGTTTGCAAAAGAACAACCTTATGAAGCGTTAACAGATGAACAGGTGATTGAAAATGCTGGACATTATTATCGAAATGACGGACGTCAAGTATATCTTCCCCAACCGCCCAACTGCCCAAAGGAGATCTACGACCTCATGCGTGAGTGCTGGAATCGACAAGAGAGTGAACGACCGTCATTCAGAGAAATCCACATGTTTCTCCAGCGTAAAAACATGGGGTACAATCCTAAGGACGAAAAAATGAACCAAATTAAAGTACCAATCTGCTGATTACAGAGAGGGCTGTATGATAAAATTTCACAACACAATCAGACCAAAGAATCCTGCAAACCTTAAAACCTGGCACTGCCAAAATGTCTTGACTGTCTATCCGTCAAAAAAAAGAAAGTTTTTCTCCCTTAAAAAGCATCTAACCTCCTTGTCATGTGTCTTTGACATATCATTAATGTCTGCAAACAGACTGCAGGAACAACAGTGAGGTTACTGTTTTTATTTTGTTTATGGTCTTCAATTTATTCTTTTGTTTTTTTTTTTTTTTGTTTTTTTTTTGTTGTTTTTTTTTTTTGTTTTTTGACGGGCCTATCTAAAGAAAATATTAAAGAATGATTAATGAAAGGAAAATAAGACAGCGACATTTGTCGGCAGTTGCTCCTTTACCTCTTCTGATGACTAGAAACAAAAATAAAAGGTGAAACAGCAAATGACTATTTAAGTGTCACTACATGACAAAGACAAAAAAAATTGGCTGAATAAATAACAAAAAAAGGTGGGAGGGAAACCAGTGTCCTGGTAAATCTCAAAGAATTATAACAATAACTTGATTTACCATTTGGAATTTCATTTTCATTCTTGTGTCACATTCACAGGAAAAATTTGAATATAAAAGAAGAAAAATGTTTTAGCTGGGCTTTTGGCAATACAGACATTTTCTTCAAATCCCACCCTTTTCACTCCTGGACCTGTTTGTAATATCTACTTCCCAATCCTATTCTGTCTCTCTACTATCCCTTCCTACATATTTTTGTTTTTGGTAATCTAATATAATATTGCTACTACTACTAATATTACAGACTAATGTAAATGTTTTCTTTGTGTTCTACCTTAAGTATTGTTACTTACTATTTAAACATGGTTACACCATACTGAACAGGCAGACAGATTTTGAAATTTACACAAAATAAAAGAAAAAAAATTAGTTATGAGAACAACAGAAAAAATATATTTAAAAAAAATCATAAAAATATTTCTAAATTTCAAGATTATTAGTATTTTTTTCTAATTTATATTTCCTTTCTACTGTACCAATTATCTTCTCTTACATCAGACACACACACACACACACACACTCTTTTACTTACATGGGCCATAATTTTTTTTATATTCAGTTAGATTTTACATATATATAAAAATCTCCTCATCAATAATTCTAACTGAATTAATTTACAATTCATAACTTTCAGTTATTGCTAGCTTTACCCTACCTCTAATATATAACTGTTTGGTCGTGTTTTTCTAAATTCTAAAAGAAATCCAACCAAAGCAGTATGTAAAAAAAATAAAAAAATAAAAAATAAAATGAAATTTTAAAAAATTGAACTACTAAATATGTTAAAGATATCAATCACTCAAACTCCATTCTGTCAGTTGGTCAGTGTTAGGTAACATGATCCTTGGCTTTTTATATTCTGAATGCAATTTTTGCATTTAACAGTATGGGGGGGGCGGTTAGGGAGTTAAGACACTGGGATGAGGAATGGGTTTTGAATGCTGCAAAATTAAAAATCAAAAAGCAAAAACCAGGAGAAGAAGAAAAAAAATGAAACTATTTCTCCTAAACTCTGTCTGCCTGTTGTTTTTTAAAACATTTTGTTTGTGGCTCTCTCCACCTTCTCCCAGGAATAAAAATGCGTCAGGGAAAAAATATCTATGACTTCATAAAAATTTACCTATTTTAATCAAATGGTAAATACAATTCCCTGAGGGCATACAAAAATGAAAACAAAAAAAAACATATACAAAATAAATGAAAAAAAATTCTCTTCTCGTGTTGTGAAGTTCACACTTACATGCACTCATCTGTGCTTCTGGACTGTGAACAAAGTATTATACAAAGAAAATATTAAAGACAAAAAAGAGGAAACCAGTTTACAAAACAAAAAAAGATTGAAATGTTTTCCCCTATCCTGTAACATTATTAAGAAAAAAAAGAAAATGAAATATAATAATAATGGACCAAACCATTTGGTGTGTCCACAGACATGATCAGAAACTAAATTGAACAGGCTAGCTCCTTCAAGAAAAAAGTAAACCACTAAATTTGGAAAAGCTGATAAAAAGTGGATACAAAAAAGAAAGTGTAGATTTAAAAAAAGAAAAAAAAAAAAAAAGAAAACTTCTTTTATCTATTTTTCGTTTTTTTTTTTTTTTTTTCCCCTATTATGTTTATTTTCACAATTTAGCTTGCAGCTACTGTCAACTGTTCTCTTCCAAGTCTATTATTCTGCTCCCACATACTGCCAATGTTTAAACCAACTACGATGACAGTAAGAACTAATATTTACATCAGTGGCTTTGAGCTATTACTGATTCCATTGGCAAGAAGCTCTGGTGACTTTTTATGACAACAATTCTGCTTTGTTTTTTTCTCATTGTGTCAGTACAGAAATTTGTTTTCACTGCAGATCCATAAAATAACAAAGCCAGGAAAACACTGAAGAAAAAAAACAAACAAACAAAATGGGAAGAAAACATAATCAGAGAATGTTATTAGTCGTATATGAAATTAGAAAACATTTAACAAAATCTAAGCATACAATACACTCAATTACAAACGATATTACAGCTTATTGTTTTAATATTAAATTTTTCTTTTCTTTCTTTTTCTGAATTACAATTTAGAAAATAAAGAGAAACATGGGAAGAGAAAGAAGAAAAAAATACATTGTAAATTTGTATTAAATAAGATTTCTCCCACCACTACTACCACCACTACCACCACCATTACAATTGCTACTCTTACTACCCTGAATGGATATCTTTTAAAAGGTTGTATATAATCTTTTTCAACTGATTAATATTGTTTGTTTTTGAAATCTTCCTTTGGAGAAAAAGAAAATACATAACCCCTCCCTTCAAAAAGGAATTGTTTGTTTGATTTTTTTCTTAAATTTTCTATTTTTTTTTTTTTTTTCCTAATTTAATTTTTTTTTTTTTTTTTTTTTAAGTTATTCATTAGTAAGTGTAGTTATTGCCATCTCTGGTCCTATACATCTACTTATAAGAGTGGCTTGTAGACTGATAAAAAGAAAAAAGTACAAGCCAGTTACCAATTATATTGAGATTGCTTGAAATTACTTTTTTCTTTTTTTTTTACACTAAGAGAAAGAATAGACTTTTTTCTTTTATTGGTAACAAACTATTGTGCAATTAAAAAAAAATGAATTCCCTTTCCATCATGCATCACTGTCATCATCACCACTACTACTACTACCACCACCACCACCATCCTCACCATCACAAAAGATTTATTTTAATGTCTTTTAATGTCTTATACTCCATCCAAGTCTTTTGTTTAAAATTCCAGTATTTCCCTCCCTTTGTTTTTGATATATATATATATATATATATATATATATATATATATATATATATATATATATATATATATAAACATGATAGACAACATAAGCGAAATGGATTTGATATCTTATGAAGATCAGGTTTGAAAGGGTTCAGCAAAGAAAGAAATCATTTAATGATTTCCTTCTTTTTGGTCTTTTTTTTTTGCCTTCCTACTTAATATAGATTCTCAAAAATAAAACAGCCATCTAATAAGCCAAATTTAAACTTAACACAACGACTGCATAATGTTAACTAAATCAAGGCTTTATCTTCAAAGCTGTTTAGTTTTATTGTAAAGCAATATTTAGCAAGCTAAAATGGATTGTCTACAATAAAACTTTCAACTCCTGTCTGCATACTCCTCACACAACTGAAGAATCTTGTGGAAATGTTAACAATTTCAACCATAAGCAATTTCAGATACTAATGCTTTAATGAGTCCTTAACTTGTTGCTAGTGAGGACTAAAGCAAATTGCATCAAACTACTAAACACTGAAATAAATATAACTGAACTTAGGTACATTTTGCACCAGACTCTTCAATTGCAAACGAGAAGTATGTGTCTGTGAGTTAACACGCTTGAAATAATATTTTTAATAGATAACTTTTGTTAAATAATGATTTGATAATATCCAGTGTCTATATGTATAAAATGTTTTTTGATTGGTTATTTTTGTTAATCATCTGCTTTTATAATCATAATCTAAAAAGAATCAGCAAATATGTTATATTTCTACACATTTTATGTAATAACCACATACATTAAAAATACCTTTAGCATTAACCACTTACATTTTTCTTTTCTGTGTATAAACTTCTATCATCATCTTCATTTTTGTTCATTAACATTTCTAGCCTGCTTGGCATGTTCTTCCTCCATTGTTGTCTCAATATTATCTTTTATAGAAGATAAAAAGAGAAATGCAATGGGACTAGGGAAATTGCTGATATTCAGATGAATAAACATTCAGTATTTTAAATATAGTATTAACTTCAGTCCAAAGTCTTTTTTCATTTCCCCTTCCTTTGTTATAAAAGAAAGAAACAAAACACTTCCTTGTGTACTACTATTATTATTATTATTATTATTATTATTATTATTATCTGCTCTCGGATGTCTTTTTATTACTCAATACCACTTCATTCACAAATAGCTCATGCTACACCCAAGCCTCTATGAGTGCATACAAGTCCTTAACTGCTTATAGGCCTATCAGCTTTACTTGCAAAATAGAACAGAAGTGTTTCTTTTGCCTTTGTCTGATTTTTGTCTTATTTATTCTATGTTTAATAAAAATAAAACAAACAAAAAAATATGTTTACATTGATTCTCGATCTACTTTCTTATCCAAACTCAAAGTTGTGAGTTGTTATTACCAGAATCTTTCTCCTGCCTCTTCTTCATTATCAGGAATAAAGGTTTATCTACTGTTGCTGTTATGCATCAACCAATGTTTGAATCACTTTGGCCTGACCTCTTCACTTCTCCAAAATGAATATATGGGTGATAAATGCTGCTTTTAATGAAATTTTTTTTTTAAAGAATTTATTCTATAACAGCTTTTAAACACTGCATTTTTAATACAATATGGAATCATTATAATCCAAATATTTCTTCAGGGCACCATTTTTACTTTTGCTATTTTTT